CTAATCCTTCGCCTGGCTTCCGGTTTAAAACCGCTACGGCCTGCGGGGACTGTGAAAATCCTTCTTTAGCAGTTGCACTGAATTTCACCCCTTGATTTAAACCCTTATTTTTTCAGGCTGTGAGCTTTCATTTCTGACTAATGTCACACTGGCACTATGTGGAGTCATTTTTACTCACAGGGCAGATTTACAAAAGGCTAAGCCTATCCCTAAACCCAGCCTTAACCCATCACTCATTTCATCTGGATTGCTAATCTTCTCCCAAAATCACCCCAGAATGACATTTACCTCTCACAGTGTTGATCAACAGTTGCTGGGACAAGCATAGTGTTTTCCTCACCTGTACATTATAACGGTGGCAGCTCCCAAAATGAGATTTAAAGTTAATTAAGGTAAATACTTGAATTAAATAGTTTGGGCATCAGACAAGACAAAGAAAATGGTAACACTTTATTTTAAGGACCAATTCTCACTATTAGCATGTATATTACTAGCATATTTGTTGTATATTAGCACTTATAAAGCACATATTAATGCCTTATTCTGCATGACCATATTTTAGATCCCGTAATCCTACCCCACACCTAAACTTAACAACTACCTTACTAACTATTAATAAACAGCAAATTAGGAGTTTGTTCAGGGAAAACTAGATTTTTTTTCAAGTCAGAAGAATGTCATTTAAGTACATGCAAAAACATCAGAAGAAAATGAAGGGGGGGAAACAAACAAACAATCTTCCCATGTTTTTTTCCCACATCATTTATATAATTGAAAACAATAACAATAACAACAACAAACAAATGCATTGAGAAAGTAACAGGCTTTCCACGCGGGCCATATTGTTCAATTCAATCTTCACAAGATCAACGAGTCCAATGAAAATGAAAGAGTAAAGAGTTCACAAGTCAATAAAACACAAAAGAAGTTAGTTTTCCCTTACTCAGATTTTGAAAACAGTCAAAGTTCATACACACACACACACACACACACACACACACACACACACAAAGAAGAGAATTTAATCCCACCTGCATTATGGCGAGTGCAGTGTGTGTGTTTCCTTCCACTTCCGTTTCACTCTTATATACTGTTTTCCCCATTTCCTCCTAATTTGCAGACAAAGTGCAAAAGCTGGTATGGATTTTTTTTTCATATCGCCACAACATGTGCTGATATCATATTCAAACAAAAATGTGTCATGGTTTAGCTTTCCTGTGTCCTGTTAGTCTTTCTGTTAAAGGGACAGTCACCCAAATATGAGAGTTCTGTCATCATTAGCTCACCTTCATGTCATTCCAAACCTGTTTGAACCTGTTGAGACCATTTTTTTATTTCTTTTGTGGAACACACACACACACACACACACACACAAATGACATTATTTAATTAAAATGTTCTGTTGCACTTCAATAAGACATATTGTGCCAGTTTGATGCTGATGATTAAAGACACGAAAAACTGACAGAAAGTCATACTTTTGGAACGACGTGAGGATGAGTAAATGTTTGCAGAATGTTAATTTCAGGGTGAACTTCTCCATTCATTTCTGGTCACACTGACCATTCTGTGAAATATTGTGTATATTCTGTAAATAAAATTGCAACAGAGATCATATTTCTGGCTATTATCTTGATTAAGATTTGGAATGCACTGTGCAAAGAAATGTTTACATATCATGCAATAGTCATTTTGGAAATACAAGTTTATTAAATCATAGTTGCATCTCGCAGTTCCTAAAACATCTAGAAATTAAATTTTTTTTTTTTTCATGTTTATTATTTATTTATTTATTTCCATAGGTCTTTATACTTTTTATTTTATTCAGTTTCAGTTGTAGTTATTTTAGCACATCAAGATAAACTAAATGAGAATGAGGAATGTTTCCTTGGCAACTACCTAGTTACGTTAATTAACTACTTCAAGTAACGTTTATTTTATATCAAGTAACAAAACTGAATTTAAATGTTTTGTTATTATTGTTTTTATGTTCTATATGAATTAACTAAAAATGTTTTAATGACAAATTTCAAACTTGACCCACTTAAACTCCTTTGTGCAAAAATATTGCAAATGTCAAACGCAAGACTTTAACAATTATACGCAATCGAAGAATAACGAACGATTGTCTTTTCTGAGAAACACACCTGCTTGGACTTCAGCAGCGTCGTTGCTCATAAAATGAACCAATGTTCCACAGCCGCTAGCAAACATTTGGAACTGAATAGATTTTCAGTAAAGCTTTCATAAAGAGGTCTTTCTCTACATGCTACATTTTATCAATGGGCTATTTGTTTATAAATCCATAACTTCATGATTCTTGTGAGAAATACATCTAATCTAAAAGTCCATAAAAACAAAGTACCATTTGAAGTGTAACACAACAACAAAGCCATTTAAAAAAATATGAAAAGTAACCGATGAAGTAAAATTTGTGATTTATGTTGCCAGTGTCAAATGGATCAGATACTCTGAAGTATATTTCTGTCTTCAAGTGAACCTCAGAAACTTTATGTAAAACCTTTTTTCTCCAACCAAAGTGACTTAAATTAAACTCATGGCATAAATACAAACTTCGCAGGAGGACCTGAAAGCACCATCAGTTCCAACTCTGCTTCAACACACCTGTCTGTAATTTTAGTAACTCTGAAGCTCACGATTGGGTTCAGGTGTGTTTGATTAGGGTTGGCTCTGAACTCTGCAGGACAGTAGCTCTCCAGGAGCAGGCTTGAAGATCCCTGTTTTAAAGCAACACAATCCAGCTAATACCACAAAACATCACATAATTAATCAAATCGCATAATAATACTAAATTGTAGATAATTCTAATTATCTAATAATCTAAGTATTATACTTTTTATTGTGGATTTTTATTGAGCACAGTGCTTTACTGTTTAAATTGAAACACAGTTTTAAAATAATCCCATACTGAGAGGTTAATGCATACCACAGATCTGCTAACATAGTGCATATGAATAGAGCAGGAAACAGACACAGATACAGAACAGAGCAGGAGAACAACAGAAAAGACCTTTGAGTGTCTTATTTAAGTCGATGCCTTTTGCAGCTTTCAGTGATGCAGATGTCTTAAAGGCCGCACAACACACACACAATGACTTTATGTGGCTTGACAGGCTAGCTAAATAAGCGGCCAGCACTTTGTGCATAGTCATCTAAATTAGGTTACATAACCAAACAGATGTAGCAATTTTGCATGCTGTGTTGCTCCGGCGTCAGCTGACCCTGCCAACCTAAACAACACCTAAACTTCTGAAAATCCCCTAAAAATGAGCTAGTAATCTCACTAATTACATATGGATGACTTAAGTAATTAGTGCTGTCAAACGATTAATCGCATCCAAAATAAAAGTTATTTATATATAAATATACAAACATACATGTATATATTTTAAAAATATTTACATGTATATATATATACACTGAACAAAATTATAAGCGCAACACTTTTGTTTTTGCCCCCATTTTTCATGAGCTGAACTCAAAGATCTAAGACTTTTTCTAATATACACAGTACACACGCATATATTATGTAAACAAAAACTTTTATTTTGGAAAATAAAAAATTGCTTTTCAGAACTGCAAACAAAGTCTTGCGAATGGTTTATTTGTGATCGCTAAGGTGTTTTAGTGCATTGCTGTGTGGGTATTTTGATGGTATTCTGGTTGCAAGGGCATTTCTAGGGTGTTCTAGCTTGTTTCTTACTGGCCCAAATCAGGGTTATTATAGTTAACTAAAACTAAACTTAAAAAATAAATAAATAAATATTAAACGTTATAATAAAATGTTTTAAAAATGTATATAAAAAAAACTTTTTTTTTCAGCTATAACAATATTTCACATTTTCATAGTTTGACGTGATGTACTAAAATTTCTAAACCTAAAACTGAAATAAAAAGCAATAAAAGACTATATAATGCTACTAAAATAACACTAACCTAAATCAAAAGACTCTTGTAAAAAAGAAGTGTGCTTAATTGTATTGAATGTGCACTTGTAGTGTACTTTAAATCTTAGAAATATGTTTTAAAAACTGTACTTGCAGATAATATAATATTAAACACTGTTAAATAATAATACGAAATACTTTAATAATTTAAAGTTAGCTTACTTTCATGACTGTTTCTTGACACTTAAGTACACTTCTTAACACTAGTGCAATTTCTAATAGCAAATTAAAAGTTTTACTTTAAAGTACATTTTAAATTCTTATGTTTTAATCTTTTGTCATATGTAACATACTAAAGCACATGTAAAGTACTTGAATATAATTTTAATTGTAGTATGTTATTCGATATTATTTAAAGATAATATATTTTAAATGAACCAAATTGCAACATCATCATTACAGATGTGCAATTACAAATATACTTAAATACATGACAGTCAAGTTAAATGATATTAAAGTATATTTTAGTTCACCATAAATGCTTGTCAGTACATTCAGCAGTACACTTTAACCATATTTCAAATAAACATAATTATGAAATATGAATAAATATTTAAGTCCTAATTAAGTGGGTCAAGAAAGCACTTTAAAGTTCTGTTTTAAATTATAATACATTTTAATTGAATTGCAGTTAAAGTGCAACATTGCACACAGTTTAAATACATTATTTCTGTAATAAGTACTCTTTTTAAAAGTATACTAAGTGTACTACTTTTTCACAATTGGAGTCCACCACAGAGCCTCTATGATATTCTAGCCCCTAGATATAAAGATGGATTTGTTGAAATAACACTTTATTAGGTTTGTGATTTTGAACATGATCTGAAACTATAGCACGGGCTAGTTGTTGTGGCCCTGAGAGCAGCTGTAGTGGCTGAGTTTGGGGCGTCTGCTAAGATTTGTCACACCAGCTGTTGTGGAGCTTCCCAGTGACTCCCAGCGACACGTTTGAACAAATTACAAATCTATGTTGGCGCGTGTATCTCTCAGCTCAGCTGTCATCGTTTCAGCACACACATACACACACGGCTCGGCTCCTGCTCTTCAGCGTGTGTGTGTTTGTGAGCTTTGTGGGAATGTATGTCCTTAATTTGTGTGAGAATGCAAGATTTTCTCTCTGCACGAGGGGTGGGGAGAGAAAGAGAGGAGAACGGATCGTTTGTCCTCATCGTCATCATCTTGTTACATCATGAATGTAAAAGGACAGTTGTTTCGCATGATGAAGCGAGCCTCATGAGGATGCATGGGCTCATTTTGCCAACTGCTAACAAATTACTGACAAGCTGTATCCTTGGTTTAACCTTGGGTTTTCATGTAGCTTCACGTGAGATGAATCACGTGAACAGCTGAATGCTAAATTCTTCACTAACTCTCTGCAGGCTTCCTATTATTATTGAACATTTTGCTTGCAAGAAAAATAGTTTATTCTAAATTAACCTGTAAAACTTTACAAAAAGGTAAACATTTTTATAGTATTTATTTGTTAATTAAAGTCAGTTAAATGGAAGTAGTGACAGATCATTTATTCCCTATTGTGATGCAAAGTACATCTGAGTAAAAGGAATGATTGAAAAATAAAAAATGTAGGGCTGAGGTTCTCTGTGTCGGTTGTTGATTGGATGAAGGCAGATCAGCTGAATAATGATGTCCGGCACACATTACTGACAAGAAGCCTGACATTTCACTGGAAAATCCAGTTATAACCAGATATGTTTAAATTCAGAAAATAGGGTGAATTGTCATTTCATGTCAACTTTAATGTTAATTTATAAATGTGCTATTGTTCATGTAATGCACTGATTAATGTTACTTTATACACAAAAAAGGTACAAAAGCTGTCACTAAAGCAGTACCCTTTGCACTTTATTTACCCCTAATGGATGCTTATTTGTACCTAAAAGGTACATATTAATACCTTTTGAAGGGGTATCTCTCAGTGACAGTTTTTGTACCGTAAATGTTGAATTATATTATATGTTAAAAAGAACAACATGCTGTAAAAGTGTTGTTTATTATTAATTTATGTCAGCTATTGCATTAAGTAATGTTAACATATAGAACTTTATTTTGTTAAAGTGTTACCCATCAATCAGGCCTGTCTGTGAAACACACGTCAACAATGGTGACTGAAAACCCTTCTGAAAAATAAGTACTTTAGCATACTTTTCGGCCTACTTATTACATAAATAATATACTTTAAATGAATATACTTAAGCATAAACTGAATGTAATATTTTCAGATGCCCAATTTCATGTTATTTACAATTAAATGAAAAAGTATTATACTTAAAGTTCATAGTGAATGCAGTTAGTTGAACTTACAAGTGTTTTTTGACCCACTAAAGTATGTAATTTCATAATTACTTCTACTGTCTGTTGAAGTATGGTTAAAGGGGTCATATGATGCGATTTCAAGTTTTCCTTTCTCTTTGGAGTATTACAAGCTGTTCGTGAATAGATAAGATCCCTAAAGTTGCAAAGACTAAAGTCTCAAACCCAAAGCTGTTTCCTGGGAGAGTAGCCTACAATGCCGGTGTTCTGACAAATAATGCTGACTCAGCCTGTAAGTACGTTTTCATATTTAAAGTATTTGCCACTGACTATTCAAACGTAGTGTAGAGTAGCGCTTGTTTGTCGTTTCTCCGATCACAAATGCAGACATGGTTTTATGTTTACGCGGCGCGCCACGATGCCGCGCAACGCATAAAAAGACCGTATAAGTCATTATAATCAGTAATTATGTCCCCACTGGATGCAACAAATACCTCGTTTATAATGGGTTTTCATGTTTTTGTCTCGTCGCGCCGGCCGGGACACGGCATCACAGTATGGTGAGGGGCGTAACATTTCCGTCACACGCTTGAGGTATTCGGCCAATCACAACGCACTGGATAGCTGGCCAATCAGAGCACACCTCGCTTTTCAAAACGATGAGCTTTGTAAAAATCAACGTGTTTCAGAAAGGCGGGGCATAGAGGAGAAACAATAATGTACATTATGTGGAAAATAATGTGTTTTTTTAACCTTAAACCACATAAACACATTGCATTACACCAAATACACAAAATAATGTTCTTTTTTAGCAACGTCATATGACCCCTTTAAAGTGCTGCTGAATGTACTGACATGCATTTATGATAAACTAAAATATACTTTAATGTCATTGCTATTGAAACTTAAAAAACTTGAAAAACTGATGAAGTTGCAGTTTAGTACATTTAAAATATATTAACTTTAAATGAAATATTGAATAATACATTACAGTTACAATTATAATCAATAAAATTATAAAAAGTACTTTACATTTGCTTTAGTATGTCAGTCAACACATCAAAATAAGTGTAATAAATCATGACAAAAGATGATTAAAACAATGGTTTTAAGTGTACTTCAAAGTAAAACATTTAATTTGACATTATTACAATGTTTGCTTTTAAAAGTGTACTTAAACAGTCATGAAAGCGTCTCTCTTTAAGTACATGTAACCTTTTATTTCATTAATATTATATTATCTGCAAGTACAGTATTTAAAAAATACAGTTTGTACACCTTTTTATCACTTTTTACTTCTTTTTCAGAAGGGATCAACTGGTTCTTTATGTGTCTCATCTTGTTCAAGTTAATTTTGATAGGAGTACCAGGCAAATGACAAATGCTGCTAAATTAGTAAATTATTTTACTGTCCATGTTCATTTAAAAAATAGGCATGAACAACTCATATTTCTGGCAAAGTGACCCCAATCAATTTATGATATTCTGCTCTGTAGATATGGTTCAGGTCCCTCCTTAAATTTCCATCTATGTGATATTTCACCCATTTTATCATCGCAAGATTTAAAAATCGTAAGTCTGATCACATGTTGAGCTATCATTCATGACTGCAGCTCAAACCATGTGGGGTGAGTTATGCAACAAAGTTGAATACTTAGGGTTAGGGGTTTGTTCAAAGCCCCTGAGCAACAGTAAAACAGATGGTTGCTTTAACAGGCATCACTAATCAGCCACAGTACACTTCCTTACAGCACATTATTTCAGATTTCAAGCTTAAAACCATTTCCTGCGATAACCGTCAGCTAGCAGAATGCCTACACACTTCCTAAAGCAGCCGTTAAGGTGATTAAGTAGCTACTTACTCTGATCTACGTTCCACATTCTATCCACTCAAAGGGCATTAAGAATCATGTGAAGACAATATATGTTGTATTGGATGAAGTATGTCATGAGCTCAACATCCTGATGCTAAAAATATTCCCTGTTTAACATCTGGTGAATTACAGAGTGATGCAGCAGCCAGAACATGAAATAGGGATTTTAGATTAAATTTGTAGAATTATGTTGACATAGATCCATGAGTGTTTCATTGGCTATAGGTCAGACTGCTGTCATCTTTTCATCTTCCTGAGGTGTCTAAAACTGAGGTGAATGAGTCAGTCTGGCTTCATATTCCTCTCACGTTCACTCGAGGCATTGATTTATGGCCAGGATCTTGGTGTGTGTGTCCGTGTGTGTGTGTGTGAGAGAGAGAGAGTATGATTATGTGTGCGCATGTGTGCACAAGCTGCTTGTCAGTGCTTTGAGTGACAGTCTCTATTAGCGGGCTGTAGAGAGATATTGGACTCAGGAGATTTTCAGTCTGTAGTGAAGTCAGTCAGCTGTGACCATCAGCACCCTGAAACCAGACATGGTCTGAAGACATCACCCATAGGTCTGCTTATCGCTCCTTCTTAGCCTCTCATTCACTCATTCTCTTTCTCTACCTCCACAATCCTCTCCTGCATTGTCAAAGTCATACTTATTTTCACTTTCTCATGCATTTCAGTCTGTTTTACTCTCTTGTAATCTAATGTTTAGATTTTCGTTTCTTTATATTCACCTGATACCCATAAATAAAACAATAAAAAAGTTTAAACATGTATTATTATTATTATTATTAATAATATTTGCCAATTATAATGTTACATACTTAAACTATTATGACAAAAAAATTATGAAATAATAATACTTATTATTATTATTATTATATGGACAAAAATACATTTTTCATTCATATAGAATTTTTGTGTTGGATTATTTTTTTTGTAATGTCCTTTGTAACAGTAATTGTATAAAAAGTGTTCTTAGATGTTCATAAAATATGTTTATATGTTGAATTATAGTATAGATATAAATTAGTAGTACTTGTATTTTGTGTATTTATGTATCATAGTGAGTGTTTTTCAGCAGTTTGATACATACATTTCAACTATTTCAAGGTGAAAAGCTTCAAAACTAAATTTCAAGTAAACATGAAGAAAACTTTCTACATTTGTGTCATGAAACTTTTTATTTACTATTTACACAGTTACTGTAAACAGGACGAAATTTATGTTACCAACATTTTACATAGTTTCTGCCTTGTCCTTGTTACACGTTTCACAACTTAAAACTGTGTCATATGTGTCAGAGAAATTAACAAGGAAAATATTCTCAATGCCTCACCTTCTGAGCCTCAGGAGGATATGATCAGCTGGACCGTTCATTTCTAATTTCTTTATGGCCTTCCCTCCTTCGTCTTGAACCTAAATATAGGTAAGCAATTGGCAGAATTGTGTTCCAACATGGCTTCCCTCCTCTACTGAGACCACTATGCCAAAATTATATTAGATTGAAGACTAAATTCTGATGCAATCAACTAGTAATGTAATGTATGCATTGTGCAATAGACTGGCAATTGTATTCTTTACTTTGAAGTGAATATTCATTCTCATATTCTCCTAGAAGTGCTCCAGCACTTTTTGGCAATAATTAATTAAGTACATCAATTATTTACTTAAATCAATGCACAGATAAGTTTCGAATAGAACTGCCCTAAAAGTTTGTTCAGCATTCAAAATTTCACTTCAAGGAGAAATTTGCATGTATTTGCTCTGTACTTAAGCACCGGCAGTAAAATATTTATGCTAAAAGATATAAGATAAATATATATAAGATATTGTCACAGTGTGTTGTAGACAGACAGGCAGAGAACAGATTTAGGCCATGTCCACACGTACATGGGTATTTTTATAAACTGAGTTTTTCCTTCTTCCGTTTTAAAAAAAATCTCCGTCCACATGAAAACACAAATGCATGCTATGAAGCACTGTCAAGAGCAGGGCTTTCCAAACTCGGTCCTGGAGGCCGGTGTCCTGCAGAGTTTAGCTCCAACCCTAATTAAACACACCTAAACCAGCTAATCAAGCTCTTACTAGGCATAGAAACTTCCAGTCAGTCAGTGTTGAGGCAAGTTGGAGCTAAACTCTGCAGGACACCGGCCCTCCAGGACCGAGTTTGGACAGCCCTGGTCAAGAGCATGCCAAACCAACAGGTGACAATATAATCTCAACCGTAAAGCCATGTTGGCCAATCGGAAGCCTGAAAAAGTTTCCAGTAGGCGGAGATAACAGTGCAGGCTCCGACGTCACAAGCCAAAAACTCCGGTTTCGCTGTCTACATGATAACACTGCAACCGGAGTTTTTGAAATCTTCACCCTGGCAGGCGTTTTCAAAAATGTTCGGTTTCAGTGACCTGGTGCTGCGTTTGCGTGTGGACGAATGGCCAAACCGCGTAGAGAAAGCTGTGGTTTTAAAAATAACCGCGTTCGTGTGGACAGGGCCTTAGTCCTTAAAGTAGAAATTCACTTCCAGAATGAAAATTCTGTCGTCATTTACTCACCCTCCACTAGTTCCAAACCTGTATGCATTTCTTTCTTCTGTTGAACACAAAAGAGGTATTTTGAAAAATGTTGGTATATGAACAGTTGATGGGCACCATTGACTTCCATAGTATTTTTTTTTTCCTACTATGGAAGTCAATAGTGCCCATCATATCAGTAACTACACTGCACGTTGGTCCCGGAAAATTGCCAGAGTGCCTTCTGTGTGAACGCAAACACATCCCGGGATTGATTCTGGGATCGATCCCGGGTTGGGGACCTAGTAGCATTGCCGGGATCAGTCCCGGAATGAGCCCTGTGTGAACAAAAGCCAGAACCAATGCCGTAAAGTGTGTGTCGTAGTGATGATGCACATTATCATGCGACTCTTTTACCGGGTGTTTTGAAGGCAGATCAACGTTCGCGACGAAAAAAATATGTGCAAACTGGTATGAAGCAGAGATCAGGAAGCTCCTCACTATCCGCGTTGAAGCTGAAATTGTTCGCCATCTTAGTGAAACGGTACACGTCACATCGTTATGTCACGTGTCTTTATGGAATCTTTACGGGATGTGTGTGAACGCACACACAGATTCCAGAAAATCACTGGCAGTGTGAATGAACCAAAATCAAACGATCCTGGGACAAATCACGGAACACATTATCCATGTATTTTCCGGAATCTCTGTGTGAAAGGGGCTTATGACAACCAATGACATACGGGAAAACCAAACAAGGAAATACAGGAACTGATAAAAACAAACTAAAAGTCCATGAAACAGAAACTAACTGAACATATCAGGTGGACGACGACAAATCCCCGGTGGTGATGATGGAAGATGCCCGCTGCACCAGACCCAGAGCAGAGCAGGGATCACAGCCCATAGCGTAGTCGGCGGAGGGAGGACCCATGGTGGAGATAAGGCTGACAACACCAGAGGGCCGACTGATGGAGACATAGCCAATGGAGGAGGAGCCCAGGGCGGATACGGACTGACAAAGTGCCAGGGAGCTCCCTTCAGGTTCTCGCTATAGACTACCAAAGATGAAAAATAACCAAAATAAATATTCAAAAATGTACTTTTTATTTTTTATATATTTTATGTATTCATGTTTTTAAAGAATGTATTGTATGTGTCTGTTGTATGTCTGTTTTGCTGCATCCAAATTGCCTGCAAGGGGTCTTAATAAAGCTTGAGCTTGACCTTCCTGCAGAGTTCAGCTCCATCCCTAATCAAACACACCTGAACCAACTAACTAAGATCTTCAGGAGTACTTGACAATTACAGACAGGGTTGGAACTGAACTCTGCAGGCAGGTAGATCTTCAGGAACAGGACTAGTCACCCCTGGTCTACACCTTCTCCGGCTCCACTTTAGTCTTCCAAATCCCCGGCTCTGCTCTGGTCCACTGTTTTTCAAGGCTGGGACACACCAAGCCAAGGTTGACTGTCGGTAAACATTAGAATGTCAGAGAGCGTCTGTCGGGCAAGTTTTTTTTCTGGTGTGTTACACACGTCGGCCCTAGTTGGGCTCACGGGGCCGTTGGTAAGAGTGAGAACTCTGATTGGATGTTCAGTTTAGCTAACACTGCTTTGTTTATGTTTCATATATCTGCGTATATCTCATATATTCTTGTTTTGGGCTTTCCTTTTTAATGACGAATATAGACTATTGATAGCTGCTGATATAGACAACTCCTTACACGCAGATGCAGAACACACATTCTAGTTTGCAGTTGGCTGTAGTCTGTTTGGTGTGTTCAAGCGCAGCCGACGCGAGGTGACAACATACTGTCACAGTCATGGATTTCTTTTGTTGATGTTGTTTTGCTGTGTGTTCCCTTTGCCTTCATGGATTATCATCTTCTTGGATTCTATTAAACTTTTGTGTAGATGACCTTCGTCTTCGTGTGCCTTCCCTCTACACACTGCGTGACAGAATACCGGACCCACAAATGTGTAAATATAGCGGCGTTTGTATTCCCGTTTATTTTCCATTTTTTTCAAGTATTTCTTTTGCTGGAGCAGGGGGAACTTGAGGACCACACCAGACTATTTCTGGACATTGCCAGCAATACCAGCTACCCGGACGATGCGCTCTGCTCATTCTACATAGCGAGCCTCAACACCGCGTGCAGAGCGCGGTTGTCCGGAGACGGTCCTCAAGGGAATTTCACTGCCTTTGTGGAGTGGGTACTGGTGAGAAACAGATCCCAGTTCACCGTCTGCCACGCTGATGAGGAACTCACCAGCCCCACTCCGGACCCAGAGCCCAGCCAAATACCACCCTGCTGCACGGAGCAACAGCCAGAGCCCACCGCAGATGGAGAGCCAGAGCCCACCACGACCGACGAACCATCGCATAATGGAGCGACAGATCTGAGGATCGCCCCGGAGCCAGAACCTCATGGACCGTCTGACCAGGTGCGTGAGCCAGCAACAATGCCTGCCATGGAGGATTGTACAATGGAGAGCGAGGGCGAGGAGGAAAGCCCCGCCCACTGTGCCACCGCTGAGGGTGAGCTGAGGAAGGACTCAGGGGAGTTAATAGACTGGTGAGCTGAGGAAGGACTCAGGGGAGTTAATAGACTTTTATTCAGAACTACCAAGTCTTTCGTCATCATCTGAAATCTCTGCCTCTCCTGTTACGGCCATGGAGGCCATTCATGAACTGTCCATCTGTCCCTTCACGACTATGAAGGTCGTGCCTTTATTATCTGTCTGTCCTGTTATGGCCAGGGAGGCCGTAAATGAACTGTCCATCTATCCTGAAATGACCATGGAGGTCTGTTTTGAATTTATCTGCCTGGAACTGTCTGTCTGCCCTGAACTATCTTGTCTGTCCTGTCTCAACCATGGAGAAAGTTGCCCTGACCCTGGCACTCCCTGTCATGGGTGTCGCCATTTGTGTTGCACACGTGTGGGCAGCACACATCATCCCAGAACCTGTTACCTGTCATGAACTCCCACCCAGACTCCCTTTCCCACCTCCTCCTATCATCATCCATTCCTCATCCCAGCCTTCTCTGTCTCCTGCCAGCCCCTTTGCTCACCCTCAGCCCACCATCTGTGGTGTGGGTCTGCCGTGGGTCTGCCAGTCTCCATCGGCGTCGTGGCTGGAGGATCCCATGTCTCCTCCTCCAGCCTCCGAGTTCCACACTCCGCCTCAGCCCGTCGACCCAGCGACTCACCACGGCCTTCCGGATCCCCGCCTACGCCTCGGTCGCCTGAGACATCTGCTCCGCCTTGACCCTCCAGATCCTCCCCGTCACCCTGGCTCATTGGCTCTCAGTCTCCGCCCCGGGCATCTCTCCCACCTGCTCCGCCACTGTCGGTCGGCCCCCTGGAGTCATCAACCATTGCTCCTCACTCCATCGGCTTCACCGTGGGCCGTCTTGTTGGCTGCTGCCTGCCCTTCGCCATTCCCTGTTATCATCCCAACTCCTCCCCTATGTCCTCCTCCTTAGTCCCCTCCGTCCCTCCTTTGTTGTTTTTGTTACGGTGCAAAGTCGCGCCTGGTCGGAAGGGAGATTACTGCCACAGTCATGGACTTCTTTTGTTGATGTTGTTTTGCTGCGTTTTCCCTTGCCTTCATGGATTATCATCTTCTTGGATTCTATTAAACTTAATAACAATGCTAATAATAACGTCCTCCCTGGATGGCCACTTGCTGTTTACTTGACACAGCATCTTAGAAACAAGTTTTTTTTTCTGATGTGAGATGCTGAAACACACCAAAACATAAGATCATGACCAAACACATCTGTCTGAACAATTAAAACAATTACATTTATTATATATGGTATATAATAATGTATCCTGTAAGAATGATCTGATTGACATTGCCTTACATAAAGTTAGTTATGTGCTTATGTTCATAGATATGGAAATAAAACAGATAGCAAAAAAAAAAAAAAAACTGCACTTTGAAGGCTTTGAGATGAAATGTCTGTGATGTTTTACTTCCTCTTATATGAATTGAATAACCATTTTAAAATTGACATTTATTTAGAGTGCAGACCTTTTTCATGTTTGTTAATGATCTTTATACAATATATAAGATTAAAAAATTATGTGCGTGTGTGTGTGTGTGTGTGTGTGTGTGTATATATATATATATATATATATATATACATATACACACACACA